TTTCTCAAGAGACGGTAGGGACAGCAGAAGCAACCTATTTTCATAGGAGGAAGAGAGGCAATCGGACTCCAACCCAAATTTCTAAGGGCAAACAGCAAGAATTGCTTTTGAACAGATTCAATTGAATCTACGTAGCACCTATGTGAAGGAGACCACACAACTGAGGCATACTCGAGTATGGGTCTAACCAAACACATGTACAGCCTTTTCGTAAAGTAGGGATCATCAAGCTCTTTAGACCACCTTTTTATAAAACCAAGCGCGGACTTAGCTTTGCTAATCGAGAGCTCAATATGCAAGTTAAAACGTAATCTATGGTCAAATAGAACGCATAAATCTGTGAATGAATCGACGTTCTCCAACTTATGCGAATCAATATAATATTGAGTAATGAATGACTTCCTTCTTGGGAAAGAAAGCTTCTTACATTTATTCAGATTTAGTTTTATAATATTCAACGAGTACCATGCAACCAAATTATTCAAGTCACTTTGAAGCTGATGTGATTGCGATTCTATGGAAAAGGAAGAAAATAGTTTCATATCATCAGTGGCTTCCTCGAGGTACGCCAGACGTCACGGGGAATTCATCCAAGGTAATGAAGTTAAACGAAACCTTGAATGATCTATTGTTCAGATAAGAGCTTAACTATTTCAATAAATAGAAAGTGATGCCAGAAGCTTGGACTTTAAAGATCAGTAAGTTATAGTTAACCAAATCTAAGACTTTGCTTAAATGACATCAGCGCGAGAGCCACTAAAAAAAGCCTTGAAAACATGACAAGTAAACTCTAGCAGATTGGTGACCGTAGATCTTCCTTTTCGGAAGCCATGTTGGAGAGGAGAAATGTACGATTTGATGACAAATGCCATACGCTGAGTCACAATTCGTTCGAACAGTTTAGGCAAGACACTCAACTTGGTAATGCCTTTGCAGTTCTCTACAAGTTGTCTTCTTCCTCTTTTGTGAATAAGAATAAGGAAACAAGTCTTCCAACACAAAAGGAAAACACCTAAATTCAAGGACTTATTAAAAAACTTTGAGATAACGCCACATAACTCGACAGCACAGGATTTAAGTACACATGATGGAATTCCATCAGATCCAGGCGCACAATTATATTTTAGAGATGTCAACCCTTTAAAAACGTAATTTTCAGAGATAACCAAATTGGGAATTGAAACCAGATTAGTTATAGGATATGGGTAGTTTGCTGATGAATTGAAATTAGCAATCGAAAAGTTTTGTCGGAAGTATTCCGTGAAGAGATTTGATGTTGCAATATCATCCGAGGAATCAGAACCATTAAAAGAAACATGCGAGGGATTTATGGAGATTTTTTTTGGAATTAACGAACTTAAAAGCTTATTTAGGATTAGCAAACAGAGAGGATTTAACAAACTGAAGGTATCTGCAATAATATTGGTGGTTGTTTTGCCACTGAGTAAGCGAAATAGTCGAAAGCGAAGCAACTTTTGGAAAATTGGAAAAAGCTTTTTTTTCCTATTCTTGTAATATTTAGTTAACTTATTAAACCGGGGGACATCTGCTTCGAGAACAGAACTGCTCGATCGGAACAGATGCAATAATAGCTTTATTTTATATATTGTTATGAAATTCGCTTTTTACAAGATACAGTTCGTGTCACTAGATCGCGGATATTTTATTCAAGAGAAATACACTTCAAAGTTCTTTGATTTGCCATTATATTCCTTAACAGTAAGATCATTTATTTACCATTTATTTTGGCGGTACTCTCAGCTCAAATGTTCTTGCCGGAATAATCCTCCCTTCCACAAATATTCTATTTATATACATTTTTACAAGCATGTTCCTATACCTAAATTTATGGTTTTATTTCTAATCCCAGCCTGCTTTTCGTCTAATCGTTTTCATCGGCCTGCACCTGCATGACGAGCCTGCGAATGTGCACTTAGCTTTTACTTGTTTGCTTTTCCGCTAATCGTTTTCATCGGCCTGCAGCTACATGAGGCGCCTTCGAATGCTTCTTTGGTTTTTCCTTCTTTAGGGAATTTATTATTAGGGAAAATTACTTAGTTGAATTTAACTGAATTTGGGATTTTCGTAACAATATTGCAGAACGACGCAGTAAGTTATCGAGAGAATTGAGAAATCAAGCATAGTATGTGAAAGATGCGGAATTTTGAAAATCACAAAATCGTAAAACGACTTTAAAAAATAAGGAGTCCATTAGATTTCGTCCAAATATCTCAAAAATTGCAACTTATAGATCGAACAAAAGTATGTATGGACCGACATGAGAAAGGCCGACGGACAAACAAGCCCAAGCCCAAATCGATTTACAAAATGTTGTTACATTTAACCGTACAAACTTAATGTACCTTATACCACATGATCTAAAGTATAATAAAATGTCGGTGTCAGCTTTATACATATTCATTAGTTTTTCTTAACTATGAACAAATAAAACGAAATATATTTTAAAACGAAATTTAAGATAATCCCAATTATCATAAAATACCTCGAATCGATATCGTCTGCGGATGTTAACTTATTGATGAACATTTTTTTTATATCCACCACCGAAGAGTGGAACTATGTATATCTTATCAAAACGTTCCCTACACCCAGAAGAAAATTCAAGTACAATACCGCGACCAAAAGTTAGACCAATCGATTCGAATATCAAAAATATTGTTGACAGGCGTCTCCGTTAAATTTTATATCACAAATGTCATCAGTGTTTCAGCTGCGTTGAGTTTTGCACGACACAAAAAGTATTTTTTAAATTTTTATAACGGGTATGGGCAGAAGATTTCTGTATATCAGTCGCTCACCAAAATCACTATTACGAGAGATGAGATTTAATTTTACGCACACTGCCCGGGAACAGCTAATCAATTAAGGATATTCGCTGTGCAAGTGTTGAGCCAAAATCGTAAAAAACACGCCAAAGTCCCTCAAAAATCAAAATGATGTTAACAGTTTTCTTCGATTATCGTGGTCCTGTACCCTGTGAACTCCTTTCGCCGTTTGAGGATTACTTTGAAGGGGGCGAATATTTGGAAAAATAAATAATTGAAAAACGAAACAAAAAAACTAGTCCTTATATTGGGACTACGTAGCATATACTCATGTATTTGATCGGGCTCGAATTTCTGTGTCCCGTTACGTATGCTCTCTTTCGCGGCAATTAAGATGTCTCTTTGAAGTTTGAAGATTAATGCACTCAGGTAAAACCGACCAAAGTGGACATACACAACACAATATAAAATGAGAAAAATTCTATCTTCAAAAGCAAAAAAGGGATTTTTGTGCTCTCTCATAGACACGGGATCTAATTTGTGATATTTTATCATAAAAACAAACTGAGAATAGACAAAGTAGTGTAAGGTATTGAATGGTGGGCCTTGTACGACTAGAATATATTTACTTGTTTTTTCAAGATTCTACAAAGCTGCAGCCGAATAAAATCATCTCACTTCATTTTTTTTATTGCTACTTTTTCTTGCTTATTATAATTTCTTAGTTATTATACGCGTGCATACATGTTTGTAGTTAGGAGAGTGTTAGCCTTTAGATATGATCTGTAAAATCTAACCATAAAGATCATTGGTTTTATATTTTAAACTTGTACCTATTTTTTTTTTTTATAAAATTTGAGCATTACATTGGTAAAAAGAAAGAAAGAGAAAGGAAAACAGAATATAGTTCAGAATTTCCTACCACACAACAATCTATATATATATATATCGTTTGGGAAGGTTAATCAATATTTCTACCTTTGCACATAAAATAGCAAAAGTACTGTACAACGTATCCTTACCCTAGGGATATAAACTGTAGCATTTTACTCATAATATGTTGTTTAATAAAATGGTGATTAAAAGATTGTATATATATTTTTTTTCATCGTGATTTAACATTTTATCTAGATGGTAATCCTCGTAATACAACAACATGTTTTTTATAAATATAATTTTTAATAATTAAATATATTTTGAGCGCAAATATACAAGTGGCGTGCAATTCATTTGCATAAAGTGATTAACAGAAATATGCAAAAAATATTGCACAATATAAAACATAATACTTACAGTATAAATGGTGTTAAGTTGCGGTGACTGTGAAGTATTAAGCATACTTGGTGTTCTTTTATTCTACTTGTATGCGACAAAGAGTAGAATTTTTTTTTTTTAATTTTTCCCTTCGAAGACCTTGTCATAGCGAGGGAATGCGTTCGAATGACCAAGTCACTTAATATGCTGGAAGCATTATCGGGGTTTACGGTGACATATAAAGTTCTGGCAACACAGCAGTACCGTGTTGAAAGAACGATATTGGTTTGGCATCGACCCACTAATCGAGCCATTTTCGAACTTCTTCAGCATTTCGAAACTGCGTGCCTGTTAAACCATGTCGCATCAATCCGAACAAGTGGTAATTAGAACGAGGTATGTCTGGTGAGTACACTGGATGCGGTAGAACTTCCCATTCAATCTGCGATGGTATATTCTTGACAACTCTTGCGACGTGTGGCTGAGCGTTGTCGTGCAAGAGGATGATCTTGCTTATGTTAACCGCTATTGCTGGTCTTTTAAGCAACAATATATCGGTCAATTTGCTCAATTGACTCCGGTAGACATCTACAGTAACAATTTCGTTGGGATTTAGCAGTTCGTAATATAATACATCTTGCTGATTTTGCCATATGCACAGCAAAACTTTATGGCCATGAATATTCGGTATCTTCGCTTACGTATCGATATTAATGGCGTTCCTGGACTAACCCTTGAGTTTTGCACTTCAAATTGTCGTAGTAGATCGACCTTTCATCGCCACGCACTATACGCCATAGAAAACTCTTCGTTTTTTGCTGGGTAAGAAATGAAACGGTGTTGTTGAAACGGTTCAAAATAATATTTTCAGTCAATTCGTACAGTAGCCATTTTCCCTCCTTTCCAGTTTTTCCCATTGCATGGAAAAGTCTAGATGTAAACAGTTGATTCATGAGCTACTCAGCTGTTCGAAGGTTTTTTGAGAGTTTGCGCTGGGTTTTTCGTCGAATAAGCCTTGCTATTCAATGTCTTCGAACATTCTTGGTGCTCCAGACCGTTCTTTGTCATTGACATCCCAATCAACTCTTTTAAATCTTTGAAACCAACCCGGCAATCGAGATATGATGGAGCAGTATCACCATAAGTTTCTAAAAATGCTTGATGTTCTTCGGCATCAGACTTCTTCAAATCAAACAGCAAAAATAATGAATGCAATGAGCAAATGCAATTTTGAGCATCCCACGCTTACCGTCTGTATACACAGGATAACTCAATAATACTAAATGGAAAACTGTTATTTCACTTAGAGAAAAGTAAAAATTATTTAATTTAACCCTTGCGTATTCCGGTACTTCGCAATTACTTTATCATTTTCACCATATGATGTAACTGAGAAAAATACAATAATATTTTTATTTATATGCAAATATTTCCATTTCATTTCACTCTTTTTCCATTTCATTCCAGCAATGTAAATATTGCAAGTACTTGCTTCTCTTTACTTCCATTTATTTCAATTCAAAATGTTGATAAAGATTGGCATAGTCCTTTTCACGACATTTAGATAGAGAAACAACCTCATCATCATATTTGGGTATAATGGACTCAATTTTCATATTAAAGCTTATTATGAATCTGGATGCCAGATACCAGCATACCAGTTATTAAAGAACAATTTTGAATTCCACGTAAATTTTTAAAATAAAAGCTCTTCAACTTTGAAATAATGATTTAGAAAAAGGGAAAATTGAAAGTGTTCTGATAATTGTCAGCGGACCCAACAGTGTGTCGATTTTGCTTATGTTTGAACCCCACGCAAATGAACAGACAGAACTGAGATGAAGTGCAGATGAAGATATAAGAAAAATATAATAAAAGTTGAAATTTGGAAATATGACTAGATATTATACACGGCGTACTACATGTTGAACAACGGAAAACGGATGACCTTTACATTTGAATGTTATTACATTATTACACTACTATACCACTTGTGGCATAGCTTATATTATATATGTGTGGATGTATATAAATGTATATAAAGTTGACCACGCCTACCCAATATTATAGTGTATCAAAGTTTTTTTTTTTTTCAATGTTCTTATAACGCGCAGAAATGAGATTCAAAAACTCCAGGAAGTACATAAACTCTAGTCCAGTTTCAAATTTGGAATGCCCCTAAACATACTTGTCTGTCCATCTGTCCGTCTGCACCACACCGTAATATGTGTGGCAAACATTCCCACGGTAACAGAAATGAAGATATCGCCTAAAAATTTGCAAAAAAGATTTGGAAGTGACCTAAGACTTTCAAGGAGACGCTTATAACGTCCACACATATAACAAAAGCTTTTATTTTGAAAATAGAAAAAATCAGCCTCACCCTCTCCATACTAGAGAATGTAAAAATGTAGCTCTTTTACTTGCTTTGTCGTTTTTAAGATGACGGTGATGGGTATAAAAGATTCGGTCACGACCGATTATCATTTTCTTATTTGCTTTCAGTTGATCTTTACTTTCATTTTCATATTAACGTTAATAAGAGGACTTTCAATCAACAAGCAAAAAAAAAAAAAAATTAAGTATAATTTTTGATGAAAATGAGTTTTGTAGTCGTCATCATTAACATTTGAATATGTTTTTGATCTTTGTATTTCATCATTAGTTTCATATTTTTTATTTATTTATTTTTTTATACAAACTTAAAGTTACTTTTTCATTTATTTATATGTTCGAAACGGACCTGAAAGAAGTAAAATGAAAAAGAATCTTACAATTTAAGATTTGATTTCGATTACACATTTTCTTGATTTATGTTATCTCTAAGCTTAAATTATGTTATTCTATATGATATTTCAGATTAAATAAAAAAATAAAAATAAAATAAAAATAAATAAAAATAAAATAAAAAGCTTTCTAAAACACGATTTAGATATACCACGGCACTAATTAATCGTGTTAAGTGGGAGACGCATGTATCTATGAAGAAAGAAACTGAAATGAATTATTGATCTAAGGACATTGTCTTAGTTTTCTGTATCGCCGGTTTCTCCATAATTGTGTTCTTCACTGATTTTAGTCATAATTCGAGCAATCGGACTCATCAGAAAAGGGAAGAAATTCTTCTTTTTCTCTTTCTTTATTTTCATCGTTTGCGTGATTTGATATATCTTCCATTGCAATCGGCTCTACTTTGTTAATGGTCTCGGGATTCGCTGATATAATGGGAAAAACTCAAGTTAAATTTCTCCTTATTTTTAATTTTTTAATTGCAATTTATTTATCAAGCAATACTAATTAATTTAGAGTTTGTCCATTTTTAATACCATACATTATAATGCAATGATTTATATTATAAAGGACAGGTGTAGATAGATATATGAGTTGGCCCGAAACAGGGAACAATTTTATGGTCATATAGATGGCTGATAAAGAGTGAGACTTTTCTTCTGCTTGAATATGTCTTTTTGTCCGCCAATGAAATATAATTAAATGCGGACAGAAATTTTAGCTTTCACTTTGAATAAATCATTTCCGATGTTCACCAAATATTAGAGTGAAAAAATACAATTTTTAACTGCTCAAACGCAACCATATCTAGATCTATTTACCTCGGCATGCATCTAATTGTCTGGTTACCACAAAAAGTCCCACCTGGTTCTACCTCACTGTTTCACTGTAAATGTTCTAGTTAAATATTTTTGTATATAAATGGTGAAATGGTGTTTCCCGTGATCTGCTAAAAAATAACGATGAAAGTTAATCCTTACAAAATCGTAATTACAGCGAAATCACTTCGAAGTTCGTGAATTTTTTCCCTCAGTCTTTGTGGTAAATTAGCTCTAGAAATTGGCATGCTGTCGTAGCCATGTATTTGCTCTTATTTGCACTGCACTTGTATATTGTTGTTTTTATTAAAGCTTTATTCATATGTAAATCAATCAAACTTAATCGCTTCATCCCTTAAATGATGAAATAATTAAATCCACACTCAATGTAAAGCGGTATTAAGCCCGCAACCATTAATTATATAAAAAATATTTATAAGTGTTTCCTGGATTCAAAGTTAATCTTATTTTGCCTTAAACGTAAAAACTTTCTTCTTTCAAATAAGATTTTAACAAAAAAAATTTAGAATGTTTCTTATGCCCCATACCACTTGCGCTGCAGGATACATTAAAGCTGCTCGCATGTATGCACCAACTAGAAGAGCTTAAAGTTATCCAATTTTTTATTGAACTAATCGGTTCGAAACCACTTCGTGAATCGATCGTCTGCCTACTTACGTCTTTTGGATGCTCAGTCTACAGATTGCAATACTTAACCATTGATTTTGTTTAACGTGTTTTGACTCGACGACGATTAGCTTTGAAAATGAACTTAGTCGGGCCAATTTTACGACTGTTTTCCATATAACGCACTATTTTGAAAAAGTTGCTAAGTGAGAAAAATTTTAAAATTTCAAATTTTCTGAACAAAAAATCGGCGAAATTTCGACAAAACTGTTCCATAATAATAATAGGACACAAAAGTCAAGTGCATGAATTTGGACAATGTATGCCTATTTTTGGGCTCCATCGATATATGAGTTCCCATGAAACGAGTATGACTTTATTTGAAAACAAAATATCATTCTTGATAACTTATCGTAAAAATAAATTAAAGATTTTATTAAACCGTTTGATATAAGGTATTTAGAAATCGGTTTGACCCGATCCTAATACTTTTGCTTGTTTTTTTTTTCGCAAAGTGTTACAGATTGTTAAGCTGTAAGGTAATGTTAGGAATTGTTGGTAGACGAGTTTTCCTTATGTAACTAGACGCGCATACAAACTATGTAAACATGACACACAAAATTCTTGTTGAATGTTCGTACTTGTAACTTTTTGTATTTTGATGTTGTTGTTGTTCCTGCCGTTATTGTTACTGTAGCTCTTCTAACTTTTATAAAAAGCGGTTCTTGGATACAAATTGCAATTATATACAGAAATGAAGATAGCCTACCAAGATAACCCACATTTCTATGGGTTATGTCTCCGCTAAAAATGGCTTTTATTAAAATTAAATAATGTTAGCAAACGTGCACGTATAAAACAAACTAAGCCTCTAATTATGAACACAAATCCACCTATTGCTACTAAATCTCATGCAAAAATGCACTACAAACACTAAAAGAATGCAGTGTTCAAATCGTGTTATAACAATTTTCAGAGACATTACGCGTTATTGATATGTCGTGAAGAATGTTAAAAGCTTTCAGAAAAGTCTAATTTCATTACCCTAGCCCCGGCCTATCAACGCCAAATTCGCCCCAAACCTGTCCTCTCCGCATACGCAAGACACTAAATTAATTATAAAAAATTTGTACGACTTCCGTCAAGTACAGGTTTTTAATAGGTCTTCAAAAACGCTACAACCTATCAGAAAAACCTAATTTAATAATAGCAACATTTGCGCAGCAAAATTGTTACGTGCTAGCCCAAGGCACACTGTAAATACTTTTCCTACTTAATTTATTTTTCGAAATTTATAATATACAATGTTTTCCTATTCCATTTTAAAAATATTTTGTTGTTTCAACGGAAAACGTAGTACACGTAACACGATCATACATATGTTTGAATGATGTACATATTTTGTTAAAATGTAAAACTTCGAACCAAAATTTTTCATTATTAGCCCGTATGGTATATAAGTATCGAGCTGCTTTTTATATTCAGTCTTATGCAAAGCGTTAAAAAGTGATTCCCTGTCACTGCTTAGTTCCACAGCGACGCCATGAGATAAATGCTGACGTTCTCTGTTAATTCTTTGAAGAACCACCATAAAAGAATTTACGTGCTCCCGATTTTGATAAAGCATCTTCACAGTAAATGCCACGAAATTCTTTCAAGCCTGCCAGGCCTTAGCCGAAGTGGTTTTGTTAAATATAATAAGTTTTTTTGAAATTTTGATTCATTTCTATTACTCTGCTCTAGTCTCTAAGCTGATTGTGGTTGCTGTCGATGACAATATCATTGGATTTACTTCGAATTTCCTGAATAGGCGTGTGATAAGAGTTTTAGTTGACGAATTTACCCCAAACACATTTGACTTAAATGCTGAAGTACCATACTCTTTCTTCTTCGCTCTTCTGGTGTTCATCAAAGAACTTCGATGCGTGACACAAAACCCTGTTTATTCATTTGCAGACGAGAGCACCATGTGTCACTCGTTCTGTTTTGCCAGTACACATATTAAATCGAGATCTCATAAAAATAATAGAATAG